TGCGCCTCCGCCCGCACCGCCTCCCACCCCGCCAGCTTCGACACTCCCGGGAACTACTTTGCCCTTCGCGTACGGGCGCGTCCGCGGGACAGGCCCGACTGCCTACTCGCAGCCCATCACCTCGCCCCTCCCTCCCCCTCGGCCCGGCGCGACTCCCCCGCGTCCTCCGATCTCCTCCCGATCCCTTCAAGGGACCAGGAAGGAGGCTTTGAAGCTTCGTTTGGTATCCCTCCGCCGGGGTCACCCCCCCTCCCCTCTGTGGTAGCAGGAACTAATTCCCTTTCAGGTCACCCGGGGCCTCGAGATGGAAATTTCCTGGATCAAGGTTCCCTGAGACCCTTGGAAGAGCAGACGATTACCCCAAGTTAGAAACGCCCCCCACACACACCTCCTAGAGCTCAAAAGCCGAGCTCGATTTCAACTAGGGCTTTGGCCCCATGACCCCGAGCAAGTCCCGCCCCTTCCTGGTTGTCCTAGCGACGGCGGTGGCGTCCCAAGATGGCGTCGTGGCTGCCAGAGACTCTGTTCGAAATTGGAGGACAAGGCCCGGCTCCGAGCAAAGATTATTACCAGTTATTGGTCACCAGGTCCCAGGCAAGTGCAGGCCGCGGTTTACCCTCTCTCCTCACCCCCTAACCACTGCGTTGGGATAGGGTACGGAAGCCCCACTAGGCCGAGAGCGAGCGAGGCCTGCCGGAAGCGCTCTGTCCCAGCTCCGAAGCCCGGAAATTTCCCTCGTCACTTCGGCCTCCTCGGCCCGTCTGCCTGCGTGCTCCTTCCTTCCCCCCAGCCCGACCCGCCCCTGGAGAGCCTTGCTTGCCTCCCCTGCCCGTCCCCCGCTCCCTTCCCGCGATCCCGGGTTCCTACCCGCAGAGTTCCCTCCGCGCGAAGAGAAAAACAGGCGTTCCGGCTTCCGTGCCGCCTCACTTCAGCCGGGGAAGGAGGGAAAGAAAAAGTCAGTCAAGTGTCCCGAGGAGGATCCCTCAGGGGAGGGGAGAAAGAGACGACCTCTTTCCCAGGGTAGGATTGATTCGTGGGGAATTTTAAAAATCTCGCTGTACTATTTCCGACTACCACGCCCACATCAAAACTTCCTTATTTCTAGTAGAAATGGACGTTTGTTTGCAAGCTTTCTCCTTTTCGAAGCCCATCTATCCCATTGAAACTGTGCGGGGAGGGGTGGTACTAAAATGTTTCAGCTGCTCTGCGCGTGAGCCCCACCCATAATGACATCTGCTCCACCACAATAAGACTGAGGATTACGTTGTCAGTGAAGTGAATAACCATCGGCCTATTTTTATGACTAGCTGTTGAAGGTGGGCTTTTTGGATGATTTATTGAGTCCATGAAATGATCAAGTTGTCGGTGAAGCTGGGCCTCCACCCAGGACACGTTTCTGATTCCTGGCCGAGCTTACACCTGGCCCCGAGGTATTTGCCCCCGCCTTGCAATTTAATGGATGGTATTCCTATAAAGAAGGAGCTGGTGGCTCAGTGGTTAAAGCATTCGGCTGCTAACCGGAAAGTCAGCGGTTCGAACCCACCAGCCGCTCTGCAGGAGAGATGTAGCCATTTGCTTCTGTAAAGATTTTGTTGTTGTTTTTATTTGCCATTGAGCCTTGGAAACCCTATGGGGCAATTCTTTTCTGGCTTATAGAGTCGCGGTGAGTGAGAATCGACTCTGGCAGTGAGTCTGGGTTTATTTATTCCTATAAAATGGGCCCTGGTGGTTCAGTGATTAAAGCACTGGGCTGGTAACCTAATGGTCAGCAGTTCAACCTACCATCCGCTCCTGGGGAGAAAGCAACCCTGAAAATTATGGGGTGGTTCTACTTTGTCCTGTAGGTTCGCCAGGAGTTGGAATCGACTGGATGGCAGTGGGTTGGGTTTGGTTTATTTTCAAAATCTAAGAAATCACGATGTTACCCGCATTATTACATCAGCTTGTTAAACTTAAATTCTTAATTACTCCTTTTTCCAGACTTTTGGCACGATTAAGAGATTTCATTACTACTGAAATTTATGTTTTTAATATTTTTTAGGGTGATTGACTCTTTGCCATTTGTTTTAAGCCATATAATGGTAACATAATTCTTCCCTTTCTGACATGAGTGATAGAAAACATAAATCATCTAATCCTACTTCATTTTCTGTTTAGTCTCACCTACCTCAAGTAAGTTACAAAGTTCTGTTTTTCACTTTACAGCCTTTTCTGTCATTTAAATTTTTTCTTTGGAGCATTTTATTCTTGAGATCTGGAAGTACAAGTATTCTTGACTCTAATGTAAGGCTCAACAAGTTGAATACCTTTCAATTAAATATGGGATTGCTCCTGGCGTTTGGTTCTACTTTGGACAAATGCTTTCCTCTAACTGTTTTGTTTTGTGAAAATTGTTCTGCCTCCAGTATCTATAGTCTTTCCCTCCCATCTTCCCTCTCTTCCGTCCTCCTGCTTTTCTTCCGTCCTTCCTTCCTTTCCAGATCAAAACTCTCCTTTATTTCAGGCTCTGTTTTCCTTCTGTCAGTTGCTTATATATAAAATCATTTTCAAGAGCTGATCCAATTTCTTTTTTTAAGCACACTGAACATTCCCACTACAATTCCACAAGAAGAGTTCATCTCAAATCTGATTAATTCACTCCCTTTTTAAAGTAAAATTTTGTTGTAAAAAATAGCAAGCCAAAAAATACTCTTTTCAGTCAACTGTCTTGAGAAAATGGTACTTTGCAACCATAGGATAATTTTTCGAAGTCTCAGCGCAGGAAACTAAACATCCAGTAAGAGGTGGCCTGATGCAAATAAATACTAAAAGACTAGAATTAGAGTCTGTGTTTTATAAACTGGACTTTTTCCTGGAGTGACTTTCTAAAATGTTTCTTGCACCTTTTTGGTTTTTTGCATGTCACTTTCCTTCTGCTTTTATTCCAAGCAATGTTGTATATTATTCAAAATGTGCCCCAAATTTAGGTGGATCCTTTTTTCCTCAATTTCCCTCCCATTTTTCTTTTCCTTTCTCCCTTTTTCACCATGTATTTTTTTAGCTTTAAAACTGAAGAACTGCACCTCTGATGTGGGTTTGAGGGCAGACTTCTCTCACATTAGGGCCCTGCCATCAACGGCGTGGTCCGTAACATGACTGTTAAACATGAGTGTTTCCTTTGCCTTCTTGCTTATGCAGTAACTTTAAAAATGTTTACATATTTTTTAATGCTTCCAGTGGCTTTCCAAGGAACCCTGGAAAACGTTTACATATATTTTTTTTAATGCTGCTAGTGGCATTCTAAGCAGCCCTGGTGGCACCGTGGTTAAGTGCTTTGGCTGCTAACTTAAAGGTCAGTGGTTCTAACCCACCAGCTGCTCTGTGGGAGAAAGATGTGGCAGTCTGCTGCTATAAAAATGGCAGCCTTGGAAAACTTCTGCAGCAGTTCAGCTCTGCCCTGTAGGGTCGCATTGAGTTGAACGAGTTGAAATGACTCAATAGCAATGGGTTAGAAGCATTCCCAATTACCAACTTGAGGCCATGGATTCCGCCCCCCCCCCCCGAAAAAGAGCTTTCAGAATATAGTTTGGCGTCATCATAGACTCACTCTCCAATCTGATCATGATGCTGATGACCCTAGGGTTAGAACAATAGTGCAGCCCTCTCCGAGTCAAAGAGTCACTGCATTGTGCTCATTCTAGTTTGGAAGGGACCAATCCTGGAGAAGGACATCACGCTTGGTAATGAAAAGGGGATGACCCTCAGCAAGATGGATTGACATAGTGGTGGTGATGATGGGCTCAAGCGTGGCGACAGTTGTGAGGATGCTGCAGGACCACAGGCCGTGTTCCGTTCTGTCATACATGGGGTCACTATGAGTCAGAACTGACTTGACAGCACCTAAGAACAGCAGTAACATTTTTCCTTACACTCAGTTCTAGTTCTTTGAAGTAGTATTCATATGATGTCAGAGCTGGGAAGAATCTCGAATATTACTTAGGCCAGGATGTTTCACACAAAACTTCTAAGAAAATCTCAAATCGTGTTCCTAAAGGAAGAGCCTTTCCTTAATTTCAATGAGCAACTTGGCATTTACTATGGGATGCAGTATGTGAGGTGATTCCGTCAAATAATTGATCATTCATTTAACAAGTATTTAGTGAGCACCTTTTATGTGCCTGGGAGCACTGGTGGCACAGTGGTTAAAGTACTTGACGTGCAGGTCATGGTTCAAAGCCACCAGCCCCTCTGTAGGAGAAAGATGTGACAGTCTGCTTCTGTAAAGATTACAGGCTTAGAAACCCTATGGGGTAGTTCTGCTCTCTTCTGCAGGGCCGCTATGAGTTGGAATTGACTCCACAGTGGGATTTTTTGTTTGGGTTTGGTTTTATGTGCTAGGTACTGTTGTAGATTCTAGGAAAAATCAATGAACCCAAGTCCCACCTTTTATGATGTACACAAAGGGCAGGGGGAGGGGGGGGCAGCCTGTGACCTCTTCTAACTTCACAAGAGGGAGACAGAATCACTATCAACAGCCCAAGGCTTATTCCTCTGAGGCCAAACACCACCACCTTCCAGCCTTTTACCAATTCTGACATCAGTTGTTCCTCCTAGGGCACTCACTGCTTCTCTGCTGGTTTTGATAATTTGTTGTAACAGCCACACAGAACTCAGACAGTACTCAAGATTATGGGTTTATTAGGGAAGTAACAGGCTACAGTTCAGGTTCAGGAACATGCTCAGGATACGGTTCTTAGATCAGGACAGTCTCCCTTCTGCTATGCATTCAGGCATGCCTCTCTGGCCCTTGGCCTCTGGGCCTGGCCTCTGCCTTGCTCAGGCAAGTGTTACAAAGTTCTTTAACCTCTGCAGATAGGTCCACCAGCAAGCTTCCTGCCCAAGGGCACACAGCTTCCTCACCCCATGGGCCAGAAAGCCTGCCACTCCATTTCCTGTCTCTTGGCTCCACTGCTGCTGTCTCTCACCTGGATGTTCTCTCTCACCTGGAAGTTTCTGTCTCACCCCGGCATCTCCCTTAGCTGGGCATCTCTCAGCCAAGGAGGTCCAGCACATGGATATCGGGTGCAAGGACGCACTCCACTTCACCTCCAGCTCTTCTGTCTTGATGGCAGTGAGATCCCTTCTCTGCCTCTAGGAAGGCTCATTTTAAGCCTGGCAGAGTGACAAAACTAACCAATCCCAACATCAGAGTTCTACACACCTTATTTGCATGGTCCCACCCAGTAATCCAGTGGGAATTACAAAGACTATGGCTAGAAAAGCCATACCAAGTAATTTCACTGTACCACAGGGACACTATAACTAGTGATTTGATTTGTAGGAACACTTATATGGTCTAAATTTTGTATGAACCCTTTTTGTACATTGAAAGGATGTTCATAAATGAGTATCAAGTTAAGAAATAGTACAGACACTTTAAAATCTGTGAGTCTGGAGGAAGCAAGCAGCACTTCTGACTCGACCCAAGAAGGCACTGCATTTTACCCCTGAATTCTGTCATCTTTGTCCTCTCTACGTGGAAATGTTGCTTCGGGTGGCCAGAACTGGTGATATATGTGACGAGACTAATACTGGAATAGTGCTAGAAGTGTCAG